TGGGGATAGTTTTGAAAATATCTGGGGCCTTTGGGGGGCCTTGTGGGGTCTCTTTGGGCCCGTTGGGGCCTCTTGGGGGATGCTGGCGGTCTCAGGGGATTCTTGGGCCGTCTTGAAACCCTTCGGAGGCGTTCATGGAGCCCTCTTGGGCGCCTCTTGGGACGTCTTGGGGTTCTCTTGGGCTGTCCTGGGGCCCCCTCCCGGGCCTCTTCAGCTGGTCGGGGCGAAAAGGCCCCGAACAGGCCCCGGAAGAAAGCCTGAAGAAAACAAGGAAGGGCTCCAAGACTTGCGTCAAAACGGCTCCGGGAGGTCTTCCAAGAGGGCCCGAACAGAGCCCCAAAAGAAGCGACAACACAGACCTCAGAGAAGACCCACGACGCCAAAAGGGCGCCCACAGGGTGCCAGGTGGCGGCCGAAACTGACTTCAACAGGGTCCCAGAACGCTCGAGAATGTGTGCAGTGCATGGTAACAAAAATCGGCCGAAGAGGTTCTGCGCCAGGAAAGTGAAATTAACCTGTCCCACTGCGGTTTAATCCCATCTCACGTTCCCCATTGCCGGGCGAACAATCAAACACCTGTTGGGTTTCTGCATCTCAATGGTAGCAAGAGCCGGCATCGAAGGATCAAAAAGCAACGTCGCTACAAGCGAGTGTCTGCCACAAGCCAACCATCCCTGTGGCAACTTTTCTGACGCCCCTCCTGATCCTCCTCCTCGCCCTCCTGATCCTCCTCGTCCTTCTCCGCTCCCTCCCCCTCCTGCTCCTCCTCATCAAAATGCCTCAGGAAGGTAAAACGATGCTGTCTCACGACGGCGTAAGCCCAGCTCGCGTTCCCTATTGTCGGGCGAACAATCAGTCACTTTGGGGCTTCTGCGTCTCAGTGATAGTAAGAGTCGGCACCAACGGATCAACAAGCAACGTCGCTACGAACGCGGGGTTGCCACAAGCACGACATCGCTGCGGCAACTTTTCTGGCGCCCATCCTGTTCGTCCTCCTCGTCCTCCTGGTACTAAACCTCGTCTAAACCCGAGCGAGCAATCAAACACATTGGGGCTTCTGCGTCTCCGTGGGATCAAGAGCCGACATCGAAGGATCCAAATGCAACGCCGCTACGAACGCGTGTCTGCAACAAGCCAGTTATCCCTGTGGCAACTTGTCCGACAATCCTCCTGATCCTTCTACTCGTCCTCCTGATCCTCCCCCTCCTTCTCATATCCCTTCCCCTCTTCCTCATCATCAACAGGGTGCGCCGGGGACGCGGAACTAACCTGTCCCACGACGGTGTCAAGCCAACTCGCGTTCCCCATTGCCGGGCGAGCAATCAAACACTTGTTGGGTTTCTGCGTCCCAGTAGTAGCAAGAGCCGGCAGCAACGGATCAAAAAGCAACTTCGCTACGAACGCGTGTTTGCCACAAGCCAGTTATCCATTTGGTAACTTTTCTGACACTCCTCCTGATCCTCCTACTCGTCCTCCTGATCCTCGTCCTCCTCTCCCTCCCCCTCAGCATCATCAGTGTGTTTCAGAAAGGTGAAACGAATCTGTCCCACGACTGTGTAAGCCCAGCTCGCGTTCCCACATTATCAAGCGAACAATCAGTCACTTCGGGGCTTCTGCGTCTCAGTGATAAGTGATCACGAACATCGACATCGGAGGATCAAAGAGCAACGCCACGCGTGTCTGCCACAAGCCAGCTATCCCTGTGGTAACCGTTCTGACGCCCCTCCTCATCCTCCTCCTCATCCTGCTCCTCTTCCGCCTCCTCCTCCTCCTCATCATCGTCTTCCTCCCCCTCTCCCTGTTGGAGATGCCTCCTAGAGAACCACCTCCAACAAGGTCCGAGGAAACCACAATCATGGATTCCCCTTTCTGAATATTTGCCTGATCGTCGCACTCTCGCCGGTACGGACTTCCGTGACCTCACGGTGGCTCAAAAAGCCTTCACGATGGCTCGGAAGCGTCACAGGAGGCCCCCAAGAGCCCCAAGATGCCCCAAGAGGCGCCACTATGGCCCAACAGGCACCCAAGACGGCCTCCAGACGGCCCCCAGACGGCTTCCCTTGGCGCCCGACTGCCCAAGAGACCCCCAAGACGGTGTAAGAGGGCCCCAAGAGGGCCCCGAGGGCCCCCACCCCCAAGACTACCCCACAAGAAGCGATGCAGTCCCAAGACGGCCCAACAGAGATCCATAATGTCACGTGTGACGGCCTTCCTCGTCATCCTCCTCCTCCTGCTTCTTTCTCCGCATGCTCCTCCTCCTCATCGTCCTTCTGCGCATCATCTTCATCAGCAGCAGCAGCATTATCATCCTCAGCACCAATAGCAACATAGAGCTTACCATCATCACCTTCAGCATCAGCATCAGCATCAGCATCCGCATCCGTATCGTCATCATCATCATCATCATCATCATCATCATCGTCAGCATCATCAGAATCATCATCACCGTCGTCGTGATCATCATCACCACCATCATCATCATCATCACTATCACCATTTCCATTATCATAGCATGAACACCATAATCAGCATTATCATCAACAGCCGAATCATCATCATAACCACAACCAGCAGCAGCATCAGTGCCATCAACACACCCACCACCATAACCATCAGCATCACCATCATCACACTCATCATCATCGCCAGAAACATCAGCATCAGCATCATCACACTCACCATCATCATCATCATCATCATCATCATCATCATCATCATCATCAACAGGAGCATCACCAGTACCCCCATACGCCGCATGATGCCGAGCATCCTCCTGACCAGTATCAGCAACATCGCCAGGATCACCAACACCATCAGCATCACCATCATCATCATCGTCATCATCACCAACATCCTCATTATCATCATCATGCTTATCATCAGCACCATCCGTATCATGAGCATCATCCTTATAATGTACATCGTCGTCACCAGTGCAAGCACCATCATCGTCTTCATAATCATCATTGACATTAGTGCCATCATCACATTCAGCACCATCATCGTGATCTTCATACTCATCATCAACATCATCAACACCACCAACAACAGCATCAATACTATCACCACAACCGTAACCATCACCTATCACCTACCACTTATCACCATCAGCACTACCATCATCATCATCATCAGCATCATCATCGGCATTATCATCATCAGCGTCATCATCATCGTCACCAGTATCCCCACACGCATCCTGATGCCCAGCCTCATCCTCACCCCCAGTATCAACAACAGTGTCAGCATCATCGCACCATCATGACTACCATCATCAGCACCACCATCTTGATCACTATCAGCATCCTCATCATCAATATCATAATTGTCATGCCTACCGCCGTTACCATTGCAAACACCATCAGCCATAGCACCATCAATATCATCATCACCTTCAACATCATATTCACAATCGTCATCATCATCATCATCATCATCATCATCATCATCAATATCACGGCTACCCCACCCTTGAACGACCACCACCCAAAGTACTTGGGTGGCACGGTGGTGGGACTTACCGCACACATCGAGGTATACATGTATGCATATGCGTATGTGTAGATGTGTATATATACACATATACATATAAATAAGTTTCGATGAGTGCATGAACATGTATACAAGCAAAGAAAGAGAAAGAGAGAGAGAGAGAGACATACATATATATATATAGAGAGAGAAAGAAAGAGAAAGAGAGAGAGAGAGAGATACGCCAGTACCCCCTGGCAGGTCGGGGCGTGCTAGAACGGTAGATGCTGTCTGGTAGGGAATCTGTCATTGTCTAAGAGCCTCCCGCCTCGATCCGCGCCAAGCCGCATGCACCACCCCCTCTCCCCGCGGTCACAATCCTTCTCATAATGCTACAGACTCGCACTCCCGAGGCCCAGGTGTCTGCAAGACGGCCCAGTATCGCTCCAAGGCTGGCCAATTCGGCCATAAAACGTTGTCAAGACTTTACGATGGTGAACACAAACGGACAATTCGAGTCTTCCACCCCAAGAGGGCTCAGAAGGCCCCAAGAGGGCCCAAAGAGGCCCCAGAGACGTCGCCAAGAGGACCCCGAGATGCAACGTTCATGGATTACCTAAAACATATGTTTTTCTTTACGCGTTCTCGCCTTCTTCGAGCGTCCGACGCTCCAAAACGGCCCAAGAGGTCCGCAAGACGGCCCAAGACTGCCCGCAAAGGGCCCCAAGCCGGCCCAAGGGCGCAGGAGTGGGAACACGAACCAAGAATTCGAGCCTTCTGGCCCAAGAGGCCCTCATCATGCAACCCAGAATGCTGAGCTGGCACGGTGGCGGAATTGCCAGAGGCAACTGGATGTATCTATATGTCTAGACTTGAATGCATTCACACGCACATGTGCGTCGAACCGACCTGGCACTAACTTTCGGAGGCCCGAGGGGATTTATGGGGTCTGCGCTGGCTTCACCTCCCCGCGCCCAAGACAGCGCATTCGGCGCCGACCCTGGGACGCTACGAGCGCCAGGAAAGGGATGCGGGAAGGGGGATCCAGAAGCAACGAAAGAAGTCCGCGCGGATCTCCGAGAGTCAGTGTTCGTGTCGACCGTCTTCTCACCTCAGCGATCGCGATTTCCCCAATCCCTCCCATCGGCTACACGCAGGAGTGACCCTGGGTCAGGGTGATATTTGGTGCGCGGCTTTTGGGGGGCCGCGGGGGAACCAAACACTAGCGCGCAAGACGCTGCTATCGCATCGCGCTCGGCGATCGAGGGGCCCCAATGGGCCCGCGTTACAGGTCACTCCGGCGAAGGGTCACCCTTACAGTGGAGGCCGACCACAAACAACCGTCCACCAGAAACCCAACCCTGAGACCCCAGGACGCCAATTGATTTTTGTTGTGGGAACGTCACGCTTACCATCACAAAACCATCGAAACCCAAGAAACCCAGGGCACCCTGGAGGCAAGCAGGGTGCTTCTTGGCATGGGCCTCCATTGTACGTCTGGCCGATCCCAGACGGTGGCGCAGGCTCGCCCATCATAGCCCTGGGCGCGTTCGGGTTCTTCGGCACGGCCGCGGTGCCTCGGGTGGCCAAGAAAAGGTGGCACTCCGCGTCGGGTGCTATACCCGCTGCCTCCGCCGTCCCATGCCTTAGATCGGGCCTGCCCCCCTACACGGGGATTTTGATAGAAAAATTACACGTAGTCAAAAATTCCAAACCATATTCAAGAATACTAAAAAAATCGCCCCAAACTATTTTTGGCTACTTTTGAATACTCCTCCCGTAGAGGAAGACGCCCATCCTAACCCAAGCCCCCTCGGCACTTCCATTTCTAGTTCTATTTTTCGCGACGAAGGCCTCTCGAGACCTCGGTCCCGTCCCTAGAGGACGCTCTGCGCCGCGGGTGGTGCCTGTATGGCCTCGTGGCCCGGGACTGATAATGACCTCCTCCTGGGCGCTGCAAACCCCGAGCCAGCCCGATGCCACGGACCGCGCCGACCGACAGACGACTGCGAGGCCGAGAGCGATGTCAATGAGTCTCTCAGCTGATTCTGGAAAACCTGCACCCGAAAACGTGCCATCAGGCGGGGGCTCATAGATTACTGCCGCCAGCTTCCGCTGTCCCTTCACCGGTAGAACCACCCCCACTGTGATTCCAGCGCATTCCGCCACCCTTCCGCCGAGGAGAAGACGCCGACACCTTCGGACTTCGAGGGCGAGGCCCATGGTTCGACAGCAGATGTCGAGTCCATGACAAGTGGCTTAGCTACTGGCCCCAGCTTCGGGAGTCCGCAGCTGCGCACATAAGCGAACATACGCAGCAGCCCAGAGGGTGCTTCACCTCGACCACCAGCGCCGGCGTCGCCGCCGCGACGAGGCGGCGCGAAACTGCGCAGCGCTCGGCCGATTGGTCGTCGCCTTCGGTCTTGAAGTCGTGCCGCCCATCCTCCTCCTTCGCCCTCAGAGCCCTGCTCCTCCTCCTTGCCAAGCGCTTTCGACCATGCATTGAGGTCAGCGAGCCACCAACTGCTCGAGACAACATGCGCTCTTCCTTTTTTGCATTTCGTGTCCTTCTCCTCCTCGAATGGCCCTCGTGACGCCGAGACTCGTCCGCCCACCGTACCTGGAGTGCCCTGCTCGCTCCGCTGCAGTCCTGGATTCGAGGCCGCGGTGGCAGACGCGGTGCAAAAAAACGACTACGAGCAAAGCGAAACCGATCTTGCCCCGAAGCGACGCTTGCACTTAGGAACTTTTCCCCCTCCTCCTCGTCCTCCTCCTCCTCCTCTTCCTCCTCTTCCTCCTCCTCTTCCCGAATAATGGGGGAACTTCTCCAAAGTTTCGCCCGGTGCCCGTCCGAAGGCCACCCGTGGACGCTTCGACGGGCGCCTCGTGCCCGCCCGGATGCACTGCACCATCAAAGCTTACACGACACTCGTTGCAACACGCAACTAGCTTCCAGCCCATTGCTGAACATGTATCCTTTGCACACAACTTGCGCCGCTTAGCTTGCAGCGAGCAGCTTGCACCACATAGTTTGACCCACGGGGCTTCCACAGCATACAACACTCGCTGCACCACAAAGCTTACACCACAGCAGATAGCACCACATAGCTTACACCACATTGCTTACACTGTGCACCAGGCATCCTGTGACGTCCACACCGAGTGCCAGAGACTACTGATTGGGGGTGCACCGTGGCAAGCACTGTTTTCAGAAAGCTAAGCATTATCGGCAAGCGTGGACACCAACAAGTGAGTTAGTATTGCACTATGCATGTGCAAGCTGCGTAGTGGCGGCCAAGTGGTAAGATCTATGTGGCGTTGCAGTATACGTATATATATATGTATATATATATGTATATATATACAAACCAATACGCTTGGTGAAAATTAGCTGGTGTAAGCTATGCGGTTCCAGCTACGTGGTGCAATACATGTGATGCACGTCTTGCTAGACGAAACATGATACCAGGTGGAAGGCATGCGATTCTAGACTTAGAGCACCAAACCATAAAGTATTGCAATCCAGGTACAGGCATGGACATGTAGATATGTATCTGTGCATGTATAGATGTATGTATGGATGTTTGTATGTGTACGGTTGCGTGCAATTCTATACACGATCGAAGACCAAATCAGCCACACATGACACATCTTGAAAATTCGCCGGCCCAACGGGCCAGGGCGTGCTAAGATCTCCGGTAACTGGTTAACAGTATCAACAGTACTTCTAGTTCGCGCGCGCGGGGCGGCCCCTGGGGGTCCCCCGGCGAAAAGTACCCCGACCAACGCCCGGTCGCCGCCCGACCAAGTCTACTCAGAGATGGTTTTCCTTCTGGGTGCGGCCTCTCAGGCTCCCCAGAGCGCGCTCAGAGTGCCCCAAGAGGCCCCCAAGACTGCCCAAGAGGCCCCCGAGACGCCCAAAGAGCGCTCGAAGACGCCGAAGATGACCCCAAGACGGCCCAAAAGGCCCCCAAGACAGCCCAAGAGGCCTCCAAGACGCCCCAAGAGCCTTCCAAGAGGCCTCCGAAGAGAGCCCCAAGAGGCCAAAATCGTTGATTTTCATTAGTTTTTTTCGATGTTTTTTGTGTTCTGGCTTTTTCGGCTTCCGGACGCTCCAAGACGGCCCAAGAGGCCCCCAAGACCGCTCCAAGACGGCCCACGAAGCTCCCAAGACGGCGCCGAAACGACCCAAGAGAGCCCTCAAGACGGCCCAAGTGCCGCCCAAGACGGACCAAGAGGCCCCAAGACGGGCCCAAGAGGGACTCAGGAGGGATACCGAGAACTCAAAAATGGAGCCCTCCGTCCCAGAAGGCGCCCAGGAGGTCCCAAAGAGGCCCCAAGAGGCCTCCAAGAGGCCCCAAGATGTCGCCAAGAGGCCCCAGGAGACTCCCAGGAGGCCCAAAAGAAGCCCCAGAAGGCTTCAAACATGTCTCCCAGGCGCCCCCGAACGGCCTCTCAACAGACCCCAAGAGGCCCCCCAAAGAAGCATCTTGACGACGACTCTATTTCGCCCCATCGAGAGACGACCCCCAGGGAACTGCTTCACCATCAAAACTCCCCACGCAACGCGTCCGAACGACACCCGCCCCCAAGAGCGCAACATGGGCAACGAACGCACAGACAAAAACCAGCGATGCCATATCGCGGGCCGGCGGAATGAGCGAAGCGATTCAATAAACTCATATGTTATTTCGAACAATTCAGCGATTGCAGTACTTTATGAATTGATATCATGCTAATCTGCACATTTCAAAATGCGCAGCATTCTGGATTTTCTGTCAATCAGTTGATAAAATAATAGATAACATTCTAATTATCAAATATTCGAGTCACTTAAAAATTTGAATCCTCAAAATAGTTGAATACTTATTTCGATATAAATCAAAAATGAATATTGTTTTAAAGCGATGCGGGTTCGTAATACATTCAACAGTGCAATAACAATATTGAAGGTTCTTGAATTCTGCCTTAGTTAAACAAGTTGGAAACATTCTTCTGGAAAAATGATGTCGATTCACATTGGGACGATGTGGGTTATTCAAAAATACACTGTCCTTAAGTGATGCAGGTTCGTGCTATCTGATTAACTAACGCATCTCAAGTATTCGAACATTTTGAATTATTGAAGTCGTTTTAAGCAAGTTTGCATATATATATAACTTACGGCTTTAGAGAATAAGTCGTTGAAAAATGAACGTCGCCCTGCAATAATGCAGGCTCGTACTATTTTCTTGACTAAATATTTTAAGTATTGAATCGTTTTAAGTACTTACATATGACATATTTCTGGACATGTAATGAATCTGAATCATTGAATCACTAAACTAATTGAATTATTCAAATATATGTATATATAAAACGTCTTGAAATGAGGCAGAGTCGTAATAATTTGAAAACTAAGTTATTTAGCTTAGTCACACTTTTGAACTCGTCTACTATTTGCAAATTTAAGAAAAAAACGCGCGCATTGTAAACACAAAATATAATATAATAGTACCACTCTGCTAAACTGTACGACGATGCCGGTTTTGAATGACTTGATCATTTTAGCTAGTAGGTTCGCGATGTTTTATGAATTAAAGCATTTAAATTATCTGAACGTGTCGAAATATTTGATAAATTGGTATATTGCAAAAAATTACTCAATCAAGTAACCCAGTCGTTTAAAACCAACAGTGTCCTAAAGTGAGGCAGAGTCTGTAGATGTGATTAATTTAACCTCTGAAGTTAGAATACTTCAAATAATTGGAAGTAACAAATAAATACGGCTCTACCACACTTCAGGACGATGCCGGTTTAAATACTTCCATAGTTTACTTATTACTTGTCTTGAATTCTTAAGAATCTGAATAATTTAAACATTTAGTCCATAAAATATCATAACGTTGCCCCGCCGTGGGATGACGTAAAAATAATGCACATTTAATGTTTGGAAAATTCTAATTAAATAGTACGCAACAACTTCACTTTAGAACGATACTGGTTTGGATGTGTTAAACGCTTTATTAAGCCAGCTGTGTACATGTGGTTAAATTGCGTGGCCCAGATGTACAAAGACATAACATATAACAATGCCACAGAATGTTCATCGACGTTAGATGCGCGATCTGTTCTCAAGCATTGCGGCGCAAATGCCGCCCGAAGAGGACGCGACAAGGCAGCCTTTCAGCTTCAAATGAAACTGAAACTACTCGCGTGCACTTTGAATAATCTTACTCCGATGCTCTTGAATTCAGAAACGCGATCTCATGGTTCTAGCTGCGCTTCCAAACGAGAGAAAAAAGGCGCGCGCCCGCGCTGCTTGGCCGCGCCGATTGGGCCGATTTGGCCGAGCTCCCCCTGGTTCAGGAAGCGGGGGCGCGCCCCCCCGGCCCGCCCGCGGGGGCGCGAGCGCAAATCCTTGAACCTAGACCGAGCAACGGCAACAATCGATACAATAGTGCGTATATTTATATATAAAGTATCCCGAATACCGTAGCGCTGGAAGCTCCTCTTCTTCCAGGCGCACTGGAAGTGGCGCGAGATCCAGATCTTGTCGTATAGGAAAACACGCTGGAGGGAGAATGCTAAGACGCGT